GGCTGCAGGGAAAAAGGCAGGAAATTCCATCCTCACCCCAGGGCCCTGCCCCTCTCTGCACCCTCATCTTCCTTTCTCACACGTTACACACCGACCAAGCCTTGGTGCACACTGTCCTTCCTCCCTGGACTGCCCTTGCTCCTGCTCCTTTGCTGATTCCTACTTGTCATTTCACTGTCTTTTCAGAGGTTCATTCCCGTCGGCAGCTGTCCCTGGCCTTCCTCTTTGGAGCTCCCTTAGGCCCTCGGACTTCCTGCTTTGCCCGTCGTGCGTTTCCGGGTTTGTGACGTCTCTTTCTAGACCAGGACGCCAAGTTGGGTCTGACTCAGCACTGAGTCCCTGGCATCACCCCGCTCAGAAGGACAGGTTATACATGTTCGCTGGTGTCCCTCCCTGCGGCTCTGTCTCTTCCTGCCCCTGCTCTGTCCTGTTCTCTCTCTCTGCCATTTAACCAGGTTTCCTGAGACCTTGTCATGGGCAGGTCCCTCTGCCTGGAATGCTGTTCTCCACTCTGTTAGCCTGGCGACCTCCTACTCATCCCTCAGGGCCCAGAACCCACTTCATCCTCCATGAAGTCACCCCCGATGTCCCAATGCCCCAACCCTCCAGGCAGAGGTTCCTTCTCCACCTCCCAGCACAAGCACCCTCCTCTTTACACCTGTTCTCTCTCAGGGCTGTGCCCGCCCGGGCTCCGGTCTCTGTCCCCATCAGACCTAGCATTCCTCACAGGTAGGGCTCTCCACATCACCCAGCGCAGAGGAATGAATTGCAAGTGTTTGCTGACTCTCTAGTGAGATGACTTCTGCCTCTGTCTCTCTCTTTGCATGAGCTGGTCCCTCTGTCTGGAATGCCATTCCCTTTTCTTTCCACATGATGTGCCTTAGACCTGTCACCAGGTTCTCCTTCCTCTGGCCCCAGCCCCAATGTGTCCCTTCCCCAACACTAGTCCCTCTGGTCCCCGCACATCCCTCCACCGTAGGCCTGTGGCTGTCTGAGCAAGGGCCTGCCTCTCCCATCAGACTGGGACTCACCTCTGTGGCCCCAGTGCCCGGGAACACAGGAGGCTCTCAGTGAAGGCTGGACACCGATGCGGATAAATCCACGTTTGGTCAGGCTGGTCCCCTACTACCTTCAGCTGCATTTCCGAGACCCGTGTCTGTAGCGGCCGCCGTGAGTAAATGGGAAGTGAAGGGCTCCCTCCCCAGGGTCACAGTGTCTTCTCCTCCATTGTGTTGCACACAGCATGACTTTTGACCAGGGAACCCATCACAAAGCGAATGAATTGTGTCTGTGGGCTCATGCCATGGGTCTCACTGCTCTCGCCTCCTAGCCCATCGCCTAGAACAGTGGTTCTCAACCTCCCTAGTGTCGCGACCCTTTAATACAGTTCTTTAGGTTGTGGTGACCCCCAATTTCATTGTTACAAATTGAACATAATTAAAGCATAGCGATTATCACAAAAATAATATGTGATTATATATGTGTTTTCTGATGGTCTTAGGCGACCCCTGTGAAAGGGTCGTTTGACCCCCAAAGGGGTCGCGACCCACAGGTTGAGAACCACTGGCCAAGTCAGCTTCCCCACTAGAAAGGTCAGGTCCCTGACGGTCGGGACGTTTGCCCGTTTTGTTCAGTGCCGTATGCCCAGCAAACAGAACAGTGCCTGGCACACAGTGGGTGCTCAGTCAATGTGATGTTGGATGAGTAATGACACCAGCTTCCCCTACTATGTCAGATGTGGAGACAGCTGGAATCCTTCTGCTCTTGACCTCGCAGGAGTGTGGCAGTGTTTCTGAGATGCCCTTTGCCCCACAAGGCTGCCTCTGGAGGGACAGTGAGAAGGTGTGGGGGTCCATCCTTGCTCTGCCGCTTACGCCGAAAGCACACTCTCTCGCTGTGCCTTGGGCAACGTGTCTGCAAAATGGGGGTGCAACTCCCCTTCTTGTTTGCCTCACTGGGTCATTGGGAGGATTAAGTGGGGAAAAGGATGTGAAAGGACCTTGAAAAGTATGAGCACAAGAGGACGAAGTTCATGTTCTCGTGCGAGTGTCCTGCACACCCTGGGCTCCGTCCTGCCTGGATCTCTGTCCAGGCACCCAGAATGCCTTCCCTTCTATTGTTTATGCCAACGCCTTTTATCCTGTAGGAGTTTGACTAAGTTTTACTTCCTCCAGGACATCCTCCCGATCTCCACCAGGTTGGATACTTTTGCCTAAAATTCAGCTTTGCCTCAAGTGTGTTTCTGTCAAATGAATCAACACCCATGTGCTTGGGAGGTGGGGTTGCCTAGTGGTTCATGAGGCCGGGAGTCACGCTCCTGACTGTGCACGAGCTACATGAGCGTAAGCAAGTGCTTCCACCTCATTTGCTCACCTGTCGCGTGGGGCTTGCGACAATAGCCCACCTGTGCTGGCTGACAGTTGTATCCCAGGCACTCCACGCTCAGCTCATTAAATGCCGACCACAACCATAACCTACTGTGAAGCAGGTTCTGTCATCATCGTAGGCTTTATTTTCACTTCTGCCTTACAGGTGAGGAAACACAGGTGCAGAGAGGGTAAGTAACTTGCCCAAGTTCCCCACAGGCTAAAAGGTAGAGCTGGGACTCGAACCCATTTGGCCTGGCTCCAGAGCCTGGGCTCCGGACTTTTATGATAACTGCCTCTCGAGCTTCTCATGATGATAATAGAGACATCATCATAGCTGCCTGCTGGAGCAGCCCTAGGCTCCGGGCTGGGGGTGGGGAGAGCACAGGGAGTGGGGTCATGGGGTGCTGGGCCTCGCTGGTGCTCAGCACATAATATCTATTGTCAGGTTTGCTCTTCATGCAGTGCAGGATGTGGCTGTGTGTCCCCACCCTAGGATGCTGGGGACCTCACCCCATTTCTGCCAGGCCTGCTGAGCAGGTGAGGGTGGGGCAGCATAGGGAAGTGGGAGGGAGAGAGACAGGAATGAAACTATATATTTGCGTCATTTCCCACATTACAGGGGCTGAAGCAGTGTGTGTGTGTGTGGGGGGGCATGCCCTGCCCCCAGCATCCTGCTCACGAAGAGGTTAAAGGGGCTGTCTATGGGGAGAGGCAGAGGGGTCCTCCCAGGGTGCCCACCAGCAAAGGAATTATGAGGAGCAGAGCCAGGAAGTGCGGTGCCAGGGGAGGCGCGGTGGCCGAAGCGATGGTGAAGGGCTGGGTCACGGAGCCCCCGTTGCACAGGGGCCCCTCACAGCAGAAGCCCTGGAGGTCGATGTCTGTCCAGGGGCTGGTGGTGCCCAAGACGGTGCAGGAGGGCCGGTGGCAGGTTCTGATGTACACAGGGACTGAGAAATTGTCTGGGGGAGGCGAGGGGGGGCGGGGAAATGGCAATGAGGAGGGGTCAGAACTGAGCCGGGGCCACAAGTGGGTCCACAATCTTATTCCCAGTCTCCCTCCTTAGACCGGGCCACGCCTCCCTCCTTGGACCAGGGCCACGCCCCCCTCCTTAGACCAGGGCCACGCCCCCTCCTTAGACCAGGGCCACGCCTCCATCTTTAGACCAGGGCCACGGCCCCTCCTTAGGCCAGGGCCACGCCTCTCTCTTTAGGCTAAGGCCACGCCTCCCTCCTTAGGCCAGGGCCACGCCTCCCTCCTTAGGCCAGGGCCACGCCTCTCTCTTTAGGCCAAGGCCACGCCTCCCTCCTTAGGCCAAGGCCACGCCTCCCTCCTTAGGCCAGGGCCACGCCTCCCTCCACCAGGCGCCTTTTCCCTCCGAGGGGAGCCACAACTCTTCCTTAGGGCCCTGCCTGCCCGCTGGCTGCCGGCGCCTCTACCCTCCGGCCTGCCCTGCCTCCAGCCCCCTACCCGCCCAGCCTCTCACCAACGCTCATTTCGCCATTGCCCTGGAAGCAGACGCTCTGGTCCTGGTGGCACTGGACCCGTCGGGACTTCCTCAGGGTGCAGTCCTCCGGGCGGGTGCCCACGCAGGCGTAGCACTCGGTGCCGCTGAGCGTGGGCGGGTTGGGCGCTGGA